ATTTGCATAATTTTTTTGGTATAAACTTTTGTGTGAATCAGTTGTTACACTGTTTGACAGTTTTGTTAAAACAAAAGTAAAAGTAACTTAATTTGTAAGAAACTCTTTGTTAACAAAACCCTAACATTTATATAAATTATTAACTATTGTTATGTTATATTAATTTACTATTACGACAAAACCATCAATTTATTTGTTTTTCATTTAATTTGAATTTAATACATGTACAATGTATATTATATGTTAATTTTTGTAAAACAATATGAGTGTTTTTTATATTATTTTAATTATTACTAAACTTCTTTATTAACAAAATTAAGACATCATTTTAAATGTTATATTAAATAAAAATTATAAAAGAAATATACTGAATATATGCAAAATATAAATGATTAATTTGAACTAATAATTAGTTACTAATTTAATATTCATGAATTTTATAAAATTATAAAACTCATTAATTAAGATATTTTGAATAAATGCAATCATAATATAATATTATACAATGCTATGCCTGTAATAATAGTAATGTAATTCAAAGTTAATTAATTTTTTTCCTAAAAAACTGTGATATGTCGTGAGTCTAGACGTACCGCTAATTTACAATTTCAAAACACATATTAAATTCACACCAAAATATTTTATACCCCGATCCTGTCACTGATCCCTGAAATTAATTAATTGATTGCAATCATAAAGTATTTCCCAAACGGTATCATCATTTGCCTTAAAACGACTGATTATCATATCATTAAAAAGTCGTTTTAATTATAAATACACACATAATATATACTGAAAATAAATTATTTGATATTAATTTAGTTCATATGGTCTGGAAGTGCCAGACGTTTTTGCCTAGATAAGATATGTTTGTGTGTATAATGTATTATGCATTTATTAATGGCTATCAGTTTGGTGATCAAGTTATTTATTCATTGTATAACACTTTATATAAGTTATTATACCGGTATATAAATATAATATACTTTTTAAATTAGAGTATAATATCTGTGCAATGAATTTGAAATTAATTTCATTTCGGATTTATTTTACAGATTAAAAGATATATAATATTTTTATATATAGTTATAATTTTATATATTACTTGTGTTATACAAAAGTGATTTTATTTTGTTAAACCTTTTTAAGCGTCAAAACAATAAATCAAAATAAAATTTATTTTTCTTATTTAATTCGCGAATAAAGGCTGCGTTTAGACAATACTATGAATTAATGAGATTATAGTATTGAGTGAAATGAGAGATATTTTTCAATGATTTGTATTATTTTTCGCCAAAACAATGATTAATAAGATTTAAATTATAAAATAAATTCACTCAATATTATCAAACAATTATGCCATTCATCACTAAATTTGTATCATTTAAAGAGATATATATTTTAATTGTCAGAGAGAGAGAGAGAGAGAGAGAGCAAACAAAACCAAAATACGAGGACATTATCTATCAGAAGGTCGTTAAGATTGAATTCAAACCACAAAAAAAGTTTCATTTAATAAACCATTTTAGCATTTAATGGCTTTTGACGACTATTGGACCAAAAAGCATCACACATTATATTAACCACACAATGCTATTTAAAATATAATAGGACTCAATGTATAATTGAAAAATTAGATTATGCTCTTATTTTGTGTGTGTATTTCAAATAAATCCTTGAATTCTCTTATTATTCACTTAGGATTACAAAAAATATAATGAAAAGTAAAACAGTTTCAAACATAGCGATTGTATGCGTGTCTATGTACTGTATATAAAAAATAGCATATATTTGAATAATAAACTTGAAATTTGCTTGTATATAGCTAATCATAATTATTAAGGAATTAGAACATTTAATTTGAATATTATATTATATTATATACCTGTATAAATGTTATATATTTTAGTGTACCTGTGCACTGAAAGTGTTATAAGGTTTGGCTTTTCATTCATTATATTACAATCCTTTATACACACAGTTATAATGATATCTCGCATTTCAATCGTTTGCTTACAATTAGATTACGATTTGAGTTTCAAATTGTTTGCCATTTTTATAGTGAACTGATTTTGTTGTGTAAAATATGGATAGAAATGAGAGATTACATAAAAGCTTTTTTGAATTATTGTATAAATCATATAATCGCAAATTTTATTTGGATATATTCGTTCAATTAAACATAAAAGTTTATAAAAATAAACAAAAATAATATTTTGCATAACACTTTTGATATAAAGTCGTAAATATAATGCTGTAAATCAATTTAATCCAGATTCAAAGGATTTATTTAATAAATAAATAATTAATAATTTCATATAAAATGATATTTTTATGGGGAAAATATTTGCAACATAATTATTTATTTATAATATGCAATCATTTGTAATTGAAACTGAAATGTGATAGTTTAAATTAACATAAATTTATTAGGTATACGGTTTCGGTGTTAGTATGAGAGGGTGGTGTCCGTATGTCATAATTATATATTATATTGTCAATTAAATTCCTAAGTTATAAAATCACCTACATACAATCACTAATACACCGGTGCTTAGCTATATAAATGGGAATTTAGATAATAATTAATCCCTTTATGAAATTCAATAGTATTTTATTGGGTATTAGATTAAAAATTTTAATTTATTTAACAAATAAAAAAACTAGTGTTTCATCGCTTAATAAATCGATAAATTTATGACCATTTGGATTTATGATTTTAATTGCAATGTTTAAAAAATTATTCCTTAATTCTAGTAATTTTTTAATAACTAGTTGTAAAGGATTAAGAATTTTTAATAAGCGGAAAATCTCTAAGAAATTAAAATAAATATTATGGTATAATAAAAATTCATTTACCGTTAACTGTCTAATATGGTTTTAAAATTATTGTGTTATTTAACAAATAAATTGCTAGTTACCTAACTTAGGGTTAAATATTGTGTGTGTTAAATTTATACTGAATAATTAATAGTATAGCTAGATAGTCGCTAAGATTATAATATAGATAAAGTATCTAGTTTTTATATTTTGTATAATAGTTATTTGGGGGTTTTAATAATTTTTATTCATTTTTGATGACTTGAAAATATAATCTACGTAAATGTAAATGCAAACGTTCATTGAATATTTGATTTCTATATTTTCATAATAATTTAATTTTAAACTACTTTTGTTTGTTATAAAACAAAAAATGAAATGATTTTAATTCTCAATTATCACATGAATCGGTAATTAATAGCTAGAAGTCATCTAAATATTTATAATGATAATGATTTTGATTATAGTGTTTATTTGGACTAATTGTATACAGACTGTATAATACAGTACAGACGTGTGATTTCATCAGACATTTGCCGTCAATTATATTTGACATTCAATTTTTAATCGACAAAAATGAGATTATTTGAGAAAATGACAAAAAAAATTGTTATTCAAAATATGCTTCACATACTTATAATATTAAAATCATATGCGAAAAGTAGAACAAATAAAATATCTGATAATCGATGACTTTAATGATATAAATCTCATAACATGTATACAACTCTATCGCATAATGAACACTTAAGTTTCAATTAGATTATGATATGAATTAAGATTTGTTTTCCACATTATTTTCACATAATTTTGGTGCTTACTTAGTTTGCCATTGGGGTATATTTATTAATTAGAGAACCTATTGTGTAATTTACATGCATATTGAAATATCCAAATAATTTTATTATCATATAAATTTGTAGTTAATTGTAGAAATAATGCATTTGAAATTTAAATCATTACATGTTATTACTAGAGAATATATACAGTGCATGTTTATTAAAATGCCTTGAAGATTTAGTAATTATGTTATTTTCCAATAGTTTCCCTTTTGTTTACAAAATGATTTTGGTAATGCAATTAAATAACAATTATGGGGACATAATTTAATCTTATTTTATCGTATGTTTGATCGACTTATTATAACTTATTAATGTTTTGTTAACCAATTTGATAACAATTTTAATGGTGAGCTAACACGCTGTCCATTAATACTTTACTCGTATTTGTAATTTAGATAAACAAAATTAATTAGCAATTAATAGTCATTTGGGTTTAAAATCTAATTATTCTGTAAACAAACATCTGATACATAATATAATTAACAAATTAATACCACACTCATATAGCATTTTATTTTAATAATTAAGTTTATATTAAATTTAATATTTTAAACGCATGGATATCTTAATTGTTTTTTATAATGATGCAAATTTAGATTATTTTTTGATATTTTTGAGTTATAATAGTTTGCAGTTATGTGTAAATTAGTCCTCAATTTATATTAATTTTCTTAATTTACTTTTTTATTAAGATAACGTATTAAACACACATTTTCTAAGATATTTATATTAAAATTCATTTTTTGTGCCAAAAATTATTGATTTCATACGTTTGTATAGACATACAAATTATATTAATTTATAGTATTTTATTTAAATATTTTAAAATAATTTTTGTAATAATATTCTGCATACTTGGCTTACTGAACATGTAAATTATAATTTTGGTGAATATTTTAAACGCATGGATATCTTAATTGTTTTTTATAATGATTGCAAATTTAGATTATTTTTTTGATATTTTTTGAGTTATATATAATAGTTTGCAGTTATGTGTAAATTTTAAATAATTTTCTTAATTTACTTTTTATATAGAAATAACGCATTGAGCTCATAATTTTAATTGAATTTGTTGATGTTTAAAAACCTTGTTCACTCATTATTAAAATATATTTAAAGAATTTACAAAACTTTCCCAATATTTAAAATAAACGAATTAAAATTATCATAACATTTAATTTGAACACCTAGCCAATTAAAAGCTTTAACATACAATTTGAAATTGAATTTAAAAAGCATTGATGTATATATAGTAAACACTTGTATATACACTAAAAACTTAAAACAATAAATAATATAACATTTGTTCATAAATTCAGACATAATTATAGACATAATTCATTGAATCAAAAACTTTTCCACAATTTTGTTGAACTCTTCGCTATACTGTTGATGGATATTATGCTTCCCTTTGGGAAACCGATGAAGCGTTGAGTGCGATATGCTGTCCAACAGATACATCGGGTGCTCCATAGGGACCATAGGGTCCAGATCTCCGTGTAATATAAGGGTCGGCTGTTTGATAGCCTTCAGGTCAGCCCTACATGTGTCCTCGAGTTTGCAGTAATACTCGACGAATGAGTGCCAAAGTTTGGCGAAAGTGTCGGCCCCGTAGAGATCGGCGTACGCCTGTCGGGCCTTTGGGTGCCATTTGTTGAGGTCTTGGATCTCACGCATCAGTCGTTTGTCTTCGGCGGTGACGTAGGCGTTGGCCCCGAAGACCACCACTTTTTGTACGTTCAGGAGATTGGCGGCCGCAATGATGAGCGCAGTGGTGCCGCCACCACTCCAGCCCACCACAGAGTACCGGTGCTCACCCAATGTGCTCATGAGTTGTGCGGCTATTTTGGCGTCTTCGCGGTGAAAGTTACTGAACACCCGTTCCGGGGGTCGACTGTATCCATATCCCGGTGGGTCCCACGCGATCAAAGTGAACCTCTCGCCGTCCATACCCTCCAGTTGTGGCGTAAAGTCGGTTCGCGTTGAGCCGAGAGCGCCGGGAAGTAGCAAAACGGTGCGCTTCCCGGTGCCCACCCTCTCGTAGTGTATGTTATGGCCACAGACGGACACCTTTTGGCCCAACATATGCACGAATCGCTTGTGAATTGTCCGCAAATCATGTGAAGTGTTGCGAAGTAAACGATTTTTGGTGGCAATCAATGCGCACATAATGCGAGCCATCATTGCATTAAGTGTTGACACAAAACATTACAATTGTTTTTCAAATGTTTTAAAATGTGTCCATTAGTCAAAGCATTCATTTATTACAGAATTTTCGTAATAATATTCTGCACACTTGTCTCAAATGTCAATTATATTTTATTGAATATTGAATTTAGGTGAATTTAGGTGTAATGATTATTATTAGTAAATTAAAATACAATTTGTTTGTCAATTCATGGTAATTCTAAATACTGTATATGCAAGGTTAAATTTGTTTAGTTATGTGTGTGTGTGTGTGTGTGTGTGTGTGTGTGTGTGTGCCTGTACAGTACAGGAAATATTTGTAATACCCTTCAAATATTAGGCTCACAAATATAGTACACAATAGTGTGAGTGAGAGAGATATAAAATATTAACCGAAAATTATAAACTGTAATATTGAAATAAAGTATTTTAGTATTTTGTATATTTTATACATAGACTAATTTCTAGAAATGAATCTGATTAGTTTCTATTAGTTGGGTTCGTGAATATTTTTAAAAATCTAATCCTATACTAAAAAAGAAATATAGAAATACTGTATCTAGAAATTAAACATTTTCAGGTGACTGTGAAAACAGTAAAAATAGTAATGATATTTGTTTTTGTAAAGAGCTTTATCTACTGATAATTTAAATGAAAATAATAAACTATGTGCTATATATATTTTGTTTTTTAATATTTTAGACAGCACTGGTGTAAACATTGATTGGACTATGGTGTAAACATATAGTTTATCATTCTCACTAATCCTCACAATTATGCATACATTTGGTTAACATTACATTTTGAACAAACTTCTCGATTACAAACCCAATGATTATTTATTGTATAACCTTTGCCACCCTTTTGACACTGGTGGTTTGTACTGCCATACTGTGTGGCCACTTATGGAGTTTTGAGTCATCATTATTGATTAAAAAGCATTTGAAAAAAGTATTTAAAAGTGTCCAATATTTACAGCCCTAACCTACCGATTATTCCCTATTCTTCAATATTTTAATTCATATGAATTATACTAATGAGTACAGTATTGCGAAACTTTTCACACGTATTCATTCACATTATAAATGTGTGAATTTATATGAAATACCGGAACCTTTTTGTCTAATATTATGTTTACTATTGAAGTCAAGTATCATTAAAATTGCAAAATTAAAAAAAAAAATTTAATAAATCTTTGTAATATACAGTACTTTATTTACTATTAAATTTTTATGCTTGTTTAGAAGTCATTTAAATAAAATACATTAAAATATTTTACAGCAATTGTATGAATGCTTTCTTGATTTCCAACGAATGATATCTGTATTAAAAAATAAACAAGATAAAAATGAGTTCAATAAATTCAATAAAAGATTTATGTATAAAGTATTCTAAGTTTTTATATAATTATAAATGTCATTTGTGTTTTTAATAAACAAAATGATATAAATTCATAAGTATTAATTTGTCAAACTTATTTAATTCACATAATATATTACACTATAATCTTATAACATATGAAAAGCCGATATTAATTGATAATAATTTAAAAGGTTTTATTTTTTATTGGAAATTCGTGAAGTACTATACATTTATAGCTATAGTTACACATATTATGCCAACAATAAAAAACAATAAAATAAAATAACTAGCAATTATTTTTTACATGTGATATCTAGGATGGACAGGGAGGTATAGGTATAAACGCCTTATTAACCCCTAATGTCAGAGATTTGTGTAATAATATTTGAAATCATATGCATATTGCGATAATTCATATTTAATATGAATATTACATTTTTTAAAAGCATTTCAATGTTGAACAACACATTCAAAGGACATTAAAAAACAAAAGCAAAAAATATTTTAAGGAAATAATTTCATATATTATACGCTTTAAGCAATTGAGACAATAAACACATTTTCATTATAATCATAGTATTTAAAAAAGTTTGAATTGTTTTTCGCATATGCATTGAAAAAATATTTTAATACTATTTACATGAATATCAAATAAATGTATTGAAAGCTATTATAAAGCTTAATTGACACTTTTGTTAGAGATAATTAAAAGTTATTTGGTATTTAGGTAGAGGTTAGGTATTTATAATAAAAAACTTATATTCAACTCAAAAATCATAAATCTTTTTCAAATATAATACATTCAAAATCGTAGATTAAATGATTTAATTAACATTAATAAATATATATACTCATATTTGGATTTAAGTGTATTTGCATTATATTTTTGGTTCGCAAAAAAATTAACTCTAAATATGCAGTATCTGGGTCACTTTTGAAACACCGTAAACATTCGCTAGACATGTTATTGTTTATGAATTAATATTTGATACGATTTTGATTACGCTTTCTCGATGAAAAGGCTTTAATGGTATTGATCTCTAAATGTGATTAATATATTATATTATAAGTTATGTACATGGTTAATACATGTTTGTCAGATTAGCAACAATTGTGCAAAAGTAGTATTTTTTATGATTTTGTGAACAACACAATCGCTTTTGTGACTCCAAATCATTAATTCAAATAAAATACAAATAAAAAACAACGACTTTCTAGTGTGTGTTAAATCTGAAACTTAAATATAAAACTTATAGCAAATCGGTTAATATTAAAGCATATTATACTTATACACACACTCTATATATGCATATATTAATAATGAGGTTATAATTTTTGTTGTTTATTAACTGAAAATGTTTTGTTATTTGTTTTCTCTCCAGTTCTCTCCTCTCTCTCTCTCTCTCTCTCTCTCTCTCTCTCTCTCTCTCTCTCTCTCTCTCTCTCTCT